GGGGGGGGGGGGGGGGGCAGTTAATGCTTCTTTCTGAAACAGAGTTTGGGCTCCATGTATTAGCTTTGCAGATGAGCTTGGGCCACAGGAACGGTCTGGACGATGCCTTTTGGGACAAACTTTATGTTCTGTCTTTGTACAGCACCTAGCACGCTGGAGACCCAGTGCATAGCTAGGCACCGCTGCCGCTGAAAAAACGAAGAAGGATATTGAGTCCTTGGGGCTGGGTGCAGCTTGCTATGCAAATAAAGACCTGGCAGGGACCCAACGTCTGACTCAGAACCGAGCTTTCCCGAGGTCCTGAGACGTCCCCGCTCCGGTGTTTTGATTCAGGCCTACCGCAGAACTGCTTCAAAGAAGCTCTTGTCTGAAATGGAGAAGCGGGCTCAGGCTTTTGGAGAACTAGAAATACAGGGGATAAGCAGATGCCCTCTGCTGGGCTGGTTTGTGTATGCTCGGAAAGAGGAAATAGTTGTGGGTTTCGAATTGAAAAATCTCGAGTCCTTTCCTCCCGCACGAACAGGAGGTTCATGGCAATCAGAGCGTTAGCAGTGCATCATCTAATTAGAGCTGAGCATCCGATCTCACCCAAGCAAACTTGGAAGCAGGGGGGTTATAGACCATGGCTGGAAATACGCCCAGGCTCTGGGATCTGACAAGTAGGGGATGAACGGTGGCACATCACAAAATGGACAACTTGAAAAGCCTTTTCCACTTCTTCCTGGCCTAATTTTGGTGGCCGGACTCCCATGCAGGCTCGAACATGCCCCTCTGAAAACCTCAGAGGGTTTCAATATTAGAGTGGTGCAGTAAAAAAGTGTTAATACTTGGCTAAGCGGTTATACCGGAGAGCAGCTGTTTGCTTTGTGCTTGTACCATATATTTTTTTATAATGAGTAATAACTGCCAGCAAGTGTTTCCGATTAAATTTGTGATTTCCCCCACTACAGGCTATTGATTTATGGCAAGTACTGCAGCCATATGGAATATGCCCAGAATACTCTGAACCACCTCATCGCCAACAGAGAGGATGTTAGGCAAAAAGTGGAGGTAAGCAGGCTTAAGGGCATTGAGAAAAATGCACAAGCCATCCAGTTCAGCATGTCTTTTCGGCCTCCCCCCCTGCATGCACATCAGCTACTGGGACACAACAAACTTTGGAAATGCCCCCATAAGGAATTTTAGTTAGTGAGGAAGGGAAAAAATATGCAAGCAATATGGGATATGGGTGCTGGGGGATTCAAAGGGGAAAGCTGTTTGTGCTACCCAGGTCCTGGGATGGCCACCATGCCCTGGGGGAAGTTAGAATAGTTCAAGGTGTAACCTAAAGCCGCCCTGAAGGTTACTGGGCAGCCTGGAGCAGAACAAAATCTCCAGGCTCGCATGGGTCTCTTGCACGGCTGGGTCTCTTGTGACTTTATGGAGGGGCAGTTAACCCTGCAGCACGCAGGCTGGGGAGTGTCACCCTCTGAGCCCCGTGCTTTGTCGAAGGGACATCACCTTGCAGGAGCGAGCCTGGCTCCCCCAGCCACCTCTTTGATTCCGGGGGGCAGAAACTTTTCCCCATGTCCTGGCACTGCTAACTACTAGGTTCCTGTGCCTAGAGACTCCCTGCTGCCTCTCATCTCTGTATTGCTCAGAAGCACTCATAGGGCCGTGTGCGCTCAAAGCTGTCTGCCATTCCCCCCGGGTCTCCACAGCCTAAGGTGACTGTCATGAGGCCTCCCACCCCATTTAGATTCAATTCTTCATTACCGTTGTCTGTTATGGACCTAATTGGTGGCCAGTGAGAGACTTTTTGTCGATTCCAGTGAACTCGGGATCAAGACGTATCTTGCACAGATGTGCTTCTGATGCTAAAGCCAGGCATGCTTTCAGCAAGCTCTGTATGGCACACCTCCACACGCACAGCTGCCAACCTCGGGTGTGCTCCACACCACCCCAGGCCTTCCACTGTACTAGTTTTGTGCCTCCTTTGAGGAGAGACTTTGGACCAAATTCAGCTCTTGCATAAGTTGTGACAACCTGCATTGAAGTGAGCAGGAGCTGAGCCCAGGCTGAATTGGTTTTGGGTCCTAAGTGGTTGAACATCCTCAGTTTGTGTCCGAAATCTAGGAAGCCACCCCACCACAACCTATTTAGATGCACAGTTACCTGCATCACAGGGGAAAACCCTTAAGGATTTCTCATCTTTAGGTACTGATGAGGCCCCCATAAATATACAAGGGTGTTTCAGGATCAAATGGCCACCCATGCAGCCATGTCACTTTGCTACATAGAGAAGTGACGCGGTCCAGTAAAGGATCATTGCACACACAATGGTATTATTTTGAAATTGCTATTCATTTCTGAAACACCCTCGTAGTATCTGTGCGCCTCAAACTCTTGAATGTGCTATTCCTCGTAACACCCTGGGAAGGTGTGGAAGGTGATTTTATGGAGGGGGAATTGAAGCAAAATGAAAATAAAGTCGTGTCCTAAAGGTGTTTGGACAGCATCCAAATACCTTTAAAAATCTGGACTCAAGTGACTTTGCCAAAGTCTCACAAGAGGTCCGTGGCAAAGCACAATTCAACCCTAGCCTCTCGTATTCAAAGACTAGCTAGGGTGTCCCACTAGGCCTACCCACTAGACTCCCTTTCCTTTCTGATTTAAGTGGCAATGTAAACAGGGTCTGATTCAGATTATTGTGCAAAACAAAGAAACCCCAGACAAGACAAGGCCTTTGAGCTGCTATTTGTTTCCCACTCTAATTCTTGCATCTGGCATGATGTTAATCTCGATGTGCCGGGCTGTCGGGGCCTGTTACTTTATGTTCCGCAAATGGGCTTTGATTCTGTGTGCAAAAGCAGCAACAGCTCGCGCAGAATAACTGGGTTTGTTCTTTAAACACGCACCTCTGGGTTTTGCATCAAAATGTTGTGGTCCAAATTAGTCCCAGAATCAGAGGTGCAGCTGCTGTGACCTCTAGCTATTTGCTCACTTTTCCTCATTTAACTCCATTTCCATTTGGTAGCAGAGCCAGTCTCGCTGGGGAATCTAGTCGGCAGTGAATCAGTCTCATCTCAATGCACAGGCGTCTGATGTTAAATATGGCCTGGGCTAAGGGAGCATTTGTGTAGATATGTTTTTGGTTTTTTTTACCTTAGTTTTGGGTCAGAATCACACAATGTCCCAGTTAAAACTTCCCCTATGAAGGCCAGATAGGATTTCCATCAGAAGTTAGCAATCCAGCCTCTGAGCCAGCTGGAGTGGTCACTGAGCAAAGCATGAGGATTGTGTCTGCTGTAGTTTCTCCTGGGAGGGGACAGGAGCAAGAGCTCAGATCTAGGTTTCCTACATGGCAGTGCAGAATAGCATAGCTAGCACTGGAAAAGGTAGGAGGCATTGTCTGTAAAACTTAACTGAAAACCCTGCCCCTTCTAACCCAGGAGGTGTACTGGAAAATCAGGAATGAATGATGTTTTAAGAGTTAACAGTAGCAAACCAAATCTGCCTTAGAACTGTGTGTCTTTTCCCCACTGCTTTACTTTCTTGTTTGTCAGGAATGCACATTAAAAGTTCAGGAGGGGAAGTTCAAATTGCAAGATCTGCTGGTGGTGCCAATGCAGAGGGTCTTGAAGTATCATCTCCTATTAAAAGTAAGTGTTTCAGCATCCGAATTTCCTCGTGACTGCCTTCTCCCGCTGTTGCGTCCCTGGGCTTTTCCAGCAGAAAATGGAATCATCATTTCAAGGCGTGGAGCAAGGGCTTTTTATCCTCTGAACAAAATAATTACTACAGCTGCTTAGCACGACACAATATCTGTGCCGTCTTTTAAAGTACAGCGACCTAGGGTAATTCCACACTTGTTAGCCAGGAGAGGCAGCTAATGAATATAAAATAAGCTTGCATATAATCTGATTACATGTGAAATTCCTCCCGCCAGCTCTGTGTCATGGAGCCACTGAATGCAAACAGCTTTTGCTGGTGCCTCCCCTTCTAGTTGTAGCCGAGGACCGCCTGCCAGAGTGCCGCTGCTCTATGTTAAGAGTGGCATGCGGTAATTGCTTTATGGCTTGTAGCATGTGCTTGTAACATGATGTGGGCAGTAGTGTGTGAAACTTCATTCACGGTCCCGCAATGTTTTCTTCCAGGAGCTTCTCAGCCACTCGTCAGATCGGCCTGAGAAGCAGCAGCTCAAGGAAGCTTTGGAAGCCATGCAGGTAGGGGGCATGGCCTAGCAGTAAGGAAGTGATAATGGCAGCATGTTGGGTAATTCCTCGTGCTGTTCTGAAGGATGTTGAGCTCGAGTTAAACTGGGGTGTGGACTATTGGCATTATTTTTTTATTACAATAGCTCCTGAGAAATTGGGACTCTGTCGTATGGACACTAGGGCTGTGGGAAATTTCACCGGCTGTTCCGATTCATTTCGAGCTTGAAACAGTAAAACTGAATCGAAACAAAGGGCTTTGAAACAGCCTCGAAACAAAATGAGGCTAGTCGAAACGTTTCGAAAGTTTCGAAACGTTTTGAGTTTCGAAGCAGCCAGCAGCGAGGTGGTGGGAGACAGGGGAGAACCAGGGCTGTGCTTCCAGCAGCAGCCGGGAGCACAGCCCTGGTTCTCTCCATCTCCTGCTGCCGGGCTGCGGGAAGCCGATCACAGTGCAGGGGAAGGGAACTGAGCCTGGGCTCAGTTCCCCTCCTAAGTGCTACAATCGGGCTGGGGAAAGGAACTGAACCCCATCGTTCAGTTCCCCTCCCCAGCCCTATGCTAGATTGTGCTGGGGATGGGAAGTCAGCCCAGCTGGGCTGAGTTCCCATCCCACACGCTAGATTGGGCTGGGGATGGGAAGTCAGCCCAGCTGGGCTGAGTTCCCATCCCACACGCTAGATTGGGCTGGGGATGGGAAGTCAGCCCAGCTGGGCTGAGTTTCTTTCCCCAGCACAATGCTCAAGCTGAGGTTCATTTCCCCAGCCAGATTGTGGGGCTGGGGTTGGGAACTCAGCCCAGCTGGGCTGACTTCCCATCCCCAGCCTGATAGTCCGGAGAAACATCGAAACAGCCTCAGTATTTCAATGAAGTGAAACAGAATAGCTGTTTCAACTCGAAATGAAATTCAAAACAAGACACCGTTCTGTCCAAACCTCGAAACTGAAGTCGAAACGGAACAATGCCATTTCGCAGAGCCCTAATGGACACTGTACAAGCACAGAGCTTGCTTCCTAAAAGACAATGATGTGTATAAATAAAACAGGTTTGGATGCTCCACATCACTCAGCTTGGGGATACTGAGATTCTACAAAAGTCTGATTTTCTTTGCAAACTCTTCAAATGAGTGAGGCTTATGCCAGGATAATACTTCTGCCTGGTAGAGGGGAGGTCAGTTATATAAATCATAAAAAGAATGAGGGTTGGAAGGGAACTCAAGAGGTCCAGTCCCCTGCTCAAAGCAGGACCATCCCCAACTAGATCATCCTGGTCAAGGCTTTGTCTACCTGGGTCTTGAAAACCTTCAAGGACAGAGAGTCCATCCTTGGAGGAACTTCAGAGGGAAACGTATCAGACTGAAGATGAGAGACCACTTTCCCTTTAAACCAGCTGTGTGTTCATTGGTTGGTATGTGAACTGTTATTTCACAACAGACAGGGAACTGTCACTGCTACTTCCCCTAGGGGGAGGCTGGCATCTTATTGACATATTAAGACTGATTACCATTGTATGGAGATGTCATATCCCCCATTTGACTCTGGCTTTTGCTGTTGCAAATCTGAAGTAATTCCTCGGACACCAGTGGTGTTACTCTGAATCCAAATGTGTGCCGTGAAAATCATAGTCATCCTTCTAGGTCTCTGCCTTATTTCTGTGCGAAGCAGAAGCGGACGTGCTGTAATTCAGGCCCCAGAACTGGAGATGGCTGGGGATTTTCCATCAAATCATTGCTTTTTTGAAACAGAAAATGGCTTTTCCACATACTGAACATTTCTGAAACAAAACCTCCATTTTTAGTTACAAACACTTGAGATTTCAGTGAAAACCTGAAAAAATAAGAGGGGGGAAAATTCAGCAAAGACTAAATAAAAACTAGCTTCCATGATGTGTTTCCCACTACCCTGTCCCCCAAACTTTGAATTCCTATTCTTGTAACTCTCAGCAGAACCTGGCTTTCAAAGACTGGCCGTTCACCCCGAGTCATCTTCTGATAGTGTTGTAGAGCCTGTGTCCCTGGGCTGGCCAATACATTCTGAGGTCATTGTGAGGTTTTCTACCTCTGAGGCTTTTTCTTGAATTATGCTGAATTTCCCAGGACTGGCTTAAGTTCAGTGACCTTTTTTAACATTACCCCTGCTAGCCAAAACTGGTCCATAGGTTATTTTAAAGTTAGGATCGCTTGAAAGACGTTGCATTCTAACCCCCAGCTACACAAGACATGAACACGAGTAATCAGTGACTTATCTCCTCCGTCTTGGGGATCTTTCTTATATTGACTATATCACATTACAGGCCTAAACATTTGGATTCCAGTAAAATATCTTTTTTTCTGAAATTCCTTCTTTGTGCCATGCAAATGGTCTGTGTGCCCTGCGTGGCTTTCTGACGGCCATGTAACAGCTTATATTCCTAACTGACTGAGGACCAAGGGAGACCTTCTGCTCCAAGGATTAAAAACTATGGAGCCAATGCTGCCAGATGCTCTGCAGCCTTCAATGCCTACCATAGCCCGCATGAAGTAAGGGAGCTCAGTACTTTATGGGATGAGGCCCATGGGCATTTATTCAGTGAGATATATAAGCAGGTGCTTAACTTAAAATAAAGAGTTTCATATGCCTGAATTCAGGCACGTGCTTAAGGTCCTTGTTGAACTGAGATTGAGGTGTGTGTAATCTGCATTTCACATAAAGGGTATACATCCCCTCAGGATACATGGGCCCAGTCTACAGTCCACTGAAGTCCATTGGAATCTCTCTGTTAACTTCAGTGGGCCTGGTCTGTTTTGACTATATTTTTTACCGTCTGTGCTGGAAACATCAGCAAATGCGTGTCTGGGACTAGCAGAAAATGCACAGATAGACCGGGGAAAAAATAAATCTGAGCAACGAACAGTAGTTGAAGCTGGGAACAGGCGAAAGAATTGGGAAGGAGAACCTTTCTTGAAAATGCAATGGTGTGTTTTAGTATACAAAAGGGAGACGTTCCTTCTTCCTGTAGTGCTGGATGCTGGTTCAAGCTATTTCATCTCCAATCAATAATTCCCAATCCGAAAATTCACCATCCGTTGTGTGATTAAATGAAAAATCAAACTTGGCCAAGGTTGTGAAAAGGGAGTGAGTCCTGTATGCTTTTTCCATGTACTGCCTTGGTGTCTTTGTTTTTTGAAGAGAGGAGTTTCTGTCAAACGAGATGCTGGAGCAATAAAAAAATAAAAAACCCAAGCCCCGGCTGTGTCTCAAGTTCAGCATTTTCTTTATGAAGCTGCCAATAGCCATCAGACAGGATTGTCTGCTTTAGTTTTTGCACATCATCAGGGTAGAGATTTGACTCAGACTGTGTGGGACTTGCCGTGGGCCTAGGAAGTAGCAAAATGTGACTGTACTTTGTGTGCAAATTTAGATTTAGTTCTCAAGTAATTTATTTCATTTAGATTCTAACCTTGCTCTTGAGTGTTAGAAAACATTGAATACACAAATGATATGTTCGATGGCCTGGTTAGACAGGCCTAGGGAGAAATCTTCTAAGGGGTTGAACCTTGGGTTGTCTCCTGCTTTGCGCACATTTTAAAGTTAGGGTTCGGGTTTGCACAAGCTGGTGGTCGGTGTTGTGCAATGCAAGGATGTTCGTTCAGGATTTGCACACGTATCTGTTTGGGGCGTGCAGGATCCCCTCACCTGGCTGTCCAGTCTTGCTTGCGAAAAAATTGTTTTGGAAACAAGTTGGCATCATGTTCATTAAATTGCAAATGGGACCAGTTGCCGAGTCCTTTCATTTCGTTCCCTGTATATGTCAGCCCTCTGTGTGCATGGGAGAGGATCCACTCAGTAGGAGAAGGCAGATGAGAGCAGTGCAGGGCACAGCTTCGGAGGAGTTTGACACCCAAGGGAATCTTACCTCACCTGATTAAGCTTTCTGTTCCATTTTTCTTCTTAAGTGTTACTGCTACTGCCTCTTTTCAATGGGCATGATGTGATGTTATAAGCATTGTCATTTAGGTTTGCGATTATCATCTGTGATTAATCCCCTGGTGTTGGAAAGCTGAGGAAGAGCTGAACTCGAGGGGATGTCTTGAGAAATGCTGTGTTCAGATTTAATCCAAGTTGACAAGAGTTGCGATTTGAAGGAAAAGAGACAGAAGAGCCAAGATAAGAAGTGCATCCATAGATAGGTCTATTTATAAATATAGGTATAAAATACTGTTAAAAATGTAGTAGAAAATTATTTGGATGGGAGAAAGGAGTTTTCCTCTGCTGTATGGGTCAGACTCAGGGCGGCAAGGAAGCAAGCTGTACAATGCAATGACAATGTACAGTGAG